GCTCCGTGCCGGTGGCTCCCGGCGCCTGGGTGCTCTCATCCAGCCCCGTCAGGGACTCGTAGGAGGGCAGGGAGACGCTGAGCCGGTTGCTCCTGTCGGAGTCTCGGGGCTCGGAGTAGCCCGTGTTCATCACCTCCTCGTAGCTGGGGACGTAGTACTGGGAAGAGACGTCTTCATCCTCTTCTTGACTAGAAGTGAAAAAAAATGAAGGCTATCAGCAGAGCGTCATTTCGGCTTCACTGGGGGTAGGGATGGAGAGGAAAGAATAAAACAACCTGCCCAAAAAAAGCTTTTTTGACCCTTTCACGTTACATACCAGTTTTTTTCCTGTGCAGGGGGTGAGGCAGTGGCCCAGGGTGCCCAGAGCAGCTGTGGATGCCCCATCCCTGGAGGGGTTCAAGGCCAGGCTGGATGAGGCTTTGGGCAACCTGGGCTAGTGGGAGGCGTCCCTGCCCACAGCAGGGGGTTCGAACAAGATCATCCTTTAAGGTCCCTTCCAACCCAAACCATTCTGTGATTCCATGATTCCTCCAGTTTCAGAGCCCAGATCACACCCCCTCCTATATGCAGTCACACTTTCATTTCCTCGTGACATCTGTACATCCTTGATCATCGCTTTCTTTACCCAAAAACCTCTTTTTCTATTGCACAGCAGTGATTTCCTCCTGCTGCCTTCTCTCCTCCCCTCTCAACAATCAAAACTCCCTTGGAAAGGGACCTCACCCCTCTGCCCTTGCCATCCCGCTGGCTTCTGGGCTGGGGAGCAACCTCGAGTTCTGTTGGCTCTGCAATACATCACCACCTATGCCACGGGTACCCACACACATCTGCTTGGCCTTTCTTGGCATTCTGAAGTTACCATTAGTAATGATATTTCCTTGGTGGGATCTGCCGCAGCCTTTGCTCCGCCCGGCGGAGCTCCCCGAGCAAACAGGCGAGCCCTGCAGACTTTCACCAGGGCTAAACTCCATTTCCAGCCACTGCCCATGCTGCTGCAGCCGGAGACAAAAGGCTGCTCGGCACCTCCGGCTGCACCCAGCGAGACCGCACACCCTGCACCACGGCGATCCCATCTCCTGCGTTAACCATTAACCACCGCCCCCAGCATGCCCTTGCTGCTGGTCTACCAACAAAGCCAGGAGCGGCACGGCTCAGCGACGCCGGCTTGGCCACGGCTCCATCGAGACCCCAGCTTCCACACCAACAACCCTCCCGTTCTCCAACAGCACCGTAAATACCGCTGGAGTCATGGGATCATGGAATCCCAGGATGGTTTGGGTTGGAAGGGACCTTAAAGCCCACCCAGCGGCACCCCCTGCCATGGGCAGGGACACCTCCCACCAGCCCAGGTTGCCCAAAGCCTCATCCAGCCTGGCCTTGAACCCCTCCAGGGGTGGGAGGTCCTTCCTTCCTGATCCCTAAAGGATATTTGACCCCTCAACCAAAAGATGTGTTTGCCTTTATTTTAGCACAAGCTGCTATCAGAGAATCACGGAATCATTAAGGTTGGAAAAGACCTCGAGGATCACCAAGTCCAACTGTCAACCCAACACCACCCAACCCACTAACCCATGTCCCGAAGCACCACATCAACACGTTTCTTGACCCCCTCCAGGAATGGTGACTCCACCACCTCCCTGGGCAAAATCATGGGATGGTTTAGGTGGGAAGGGACCTTAAAGCCCATCCAGTGCCACCCCCTGCCATGGGCAGGGACACCTCCCACTAGCCCAGGTTGCCCAAAGCCTCATCCAACCTGTCCTTCCTTCTTGCTCCTGACCTCTCTGAGGAAGAACATCAGCCCTTGGTTCATTCCTATATCCAGGCCCACTCCCTTTCCCCCCAAAGCCTCACCTGTCCTCCTGTTGCGAGGGCTCTGCTGGCGGCTGGTGCTGCACACGTGCAATATCTTCGCTTTGCCTCCTCTTGTCGCGGACGTTCAGGCAGATGGAGAGCAGCAGCAGCAGCACGCCCGCCCCCACCAACACGTACGCCACTGAGAAGGTCTTGCTCTTCAAAATGCCTCCAGTACCACGGTCAGGCTTGCTGCTATTCCCAGCATGGCTGGTGGGTTTATCAGCGGGGCCGAAGCCGGGGACGAGGTTCCAAACAGCCATGATGATGCCGAGGACCAGCATCCCCAGCCCGATGGCCGTCAGGGCGTAGTGCGAGCCGTTGGTCCGAGACTGGGCCATCGCT